GAGACAAGGGCAATGCTGTTGTTTCACCAGCAAGCAGCGGCAGTGCCAATGCAACCACTGTTAACAGCAAACTCACTCTACCCATTGTTGATAGTACCACTAGTATTGAGTTCAGTACAGTGGTTGGACCAATGGATGCAGTGTGTGAAGCAGTGTAGGAGGTTATCTAACAAACAATTGGTACTTTAAAATGGATAGATCTACTACTTTGTTTCAAGGGCTTTGTCAGTTCTCTTAGCTGCTGAGTTGGATGCTGATTCAGTTAGTACTCCTTTAGCTGCTGATTCAGATGCTGATTTTGATTTGGTTGCTTGTTCTCCTTTATCACAGGATCTGTATAATTCCAAGGAGCAGCATACTCAGAGACTACACGCTGTGGTGATTGCATGTCTCTTCTATTAGAGCTATGTAGTACCACCATCAGATCAATACTAGAACTCCTTGTACTTGTCACTGTAGTACTAGTCATCAGAATTGCAAGAGAAGCTTTGATCCATACTGTTAGGATTCCTCCACTCATCATAAGCAAACTCTTTGACACACAGAATACAAGGAGTGTAGTTATTTTCCCTCTTCATTGCTGTCCTGTAGATCTTAAGGAACCACCCTTGTTTGTCCCTGACCTTCATTTTTGGAGACAAGGGTAGCCAATTCAATGGCCTTTACAAGATCTTTCCTTTTCAAGCAGATCTTCTTCAAACACCCAGCACATGTCTCATTGAGCTCCTCGTTGTAGGGAGTAGGCTTCCTAACCCATTCCCAGTTCTCCACCAAGTTCCAGTCTTGACTGAGCACAAACAGTACATGAAGAGAGGGATTGTTGACTATCACAGGTGGAGGGAGCTTGGGAGCTTTGGGGGGAGTCTCCAACCTTTTCATAACCATTTTAATCTTCCATCCAATCCCTGGATCAACATGCTCCTGTTGCTTGATCAACTCCATAGCCTTCCAGGCTTTTGCCTCTGGGTGCCATTTCATCTCCATGTTTCCCTGCCTGTACAATTTCAAGCTTCCCCTTTGGCAGCCAGTGCTTGTGGGCAAAGGCCTTGGGACCTTTGTGCACAAGAAACCTGGCTTGATGCCTTGACTTCTTTGTGTTTGCCTTCCTTCTATTTATCTTTACTTGCTGCTTTGGATGAAACAGTTCCTTGATATGACAGAATGGTTGTGTCACAAAGTCTGGGGAGCTACAAGGTTATTGGCAGTATAAACCCCAATGGAGCTCTTCCACAAGGAAGTCTGGTGTTTTACTCCTTGTTGCTTCTTTTTTCAGTGTTATCCTCCATTTTTAGCTGGGGTTGCCTCCCTCACAGGATTTATTGTTCTCAATTGATTCCAATGGAAGGAAATGTGATTGACGCACTTTGTTAAAGCACAGGGAAATGCATCCACCACTGTTCTTTCTCACTGACCAGCCATAAACCATATGAATGGAGGGGTGTCTTGCCAAATTTTGAGTTCACATGATTAGTGGCCTAATTTTGTGAGTGAAAAATAGCAGTTGAACAAGCTGTTTGCTGTTCCTTGCGGGACTGAAGTGCATTGGGTGAAACTAGTCATTGCTACACTAAAAAGATGGCTCAGAATCCACACATATTATGATTTCACCATATAACTGTTTTAGCCTTGAGCTGACAGCTTGTGATGTATCTTGGCCTCCAATGGTTGCTTGACAGCAGAGATCACCAGCATCCCTGTTTGTTCCTAATAAAGAGAGGATTCTAGTAGTATGGGGAAGTTGGGGGTCCTAGTAGTAGTGATGTTGATCAATATTCATGTGCACCAGATATACAGGATTGTTAAAAATCCACCTTACAGTCATGCTTTTTTGAATGCCAATGCTATCCAATGACTTTATCAAAAATAGTACTACTTTACTATTTTAATTTTTCAATGTACTAGTACTACCTAGACCATTTTTTCATGAGGATTCTAAAGATGCCATTTTTCCAGTAGCAAATAGATTTTCAATTTTACCAACTAACAGGATTTTTTACTTCTCATTTTTACTATACTCCTAGTACTACTTAGTATTACTAGAAAAGTCACACTTGTCATAATTTTATCAAAAATACTGCTAGTATTATCATTTTTCATTACAGTTCCTACATTAGTTTTTCACAATGATTCTGTATGTCATTTATCAGTGCAAGCAATCAGTAACAAATATATTTTCAATTTCACTCCTTATCCCAGTACTAGTACTACTACTAGTACTACCAAGAATAATACTCCTACTCCTTCTAGTACTACTAGTAGTAGCACCACTGGTGGAATATCACTACTACGACTTCTAATACCAAAATTCCATTTGCCACTGAAAATACTAGTGGTATATAAAAAGTTTTTTCTCATGAGTGCAAGCTCCTCCAGAACTTTTTGATGCAATGCACACCCCTCTAGTAAAATTATGACCCCTGTCCAGTAGTACTACTACTATGAGTAGGGAGGGTCCTCAAGGCAAATGAGGGCAAGACAGGTCCAGATTTGGTACAAATTTTACATGGCTCTACGGAGAGAATAATACACCTCCTTATTTGTCTTCACAATGTTAACCTGTCTCAAAAATAAAATACTGTTTGATATCAAACTTCTCACTAATTCTTAGTATGATGTACTAGTAGTATAAAGTTTTGGAGCAAGCTGTCTGATACTGAGGCATTTTTTGTCACATTGTTTCTACTACTAGTAGTAGTAGTGGGCGGTAGTACTACTAGCTACTACCAGTACTACCAGTACTAGTACTAGTACTAGTAGTACTACTAGTACTTTTTGTTGTTGTACTGAGGACTTTTTTGAAAAAACCCTGTTGGACAGTTGATCTGAGATGTCTGGATCCCCTTGTTCTTGTTGTGATCACGAAGTTTTTCTGGTGGTTCATGAGTGGGAGGGAAGTGTCCCTAATACTATTACTAGCTCTGTCTGGAGGGTGAGACAAACCTTGTACTGGTGATTATTTTTCTGACTATTAAAAACTGTGCCTTTTAATTGTATCCATAGCCCACTCCAGATTTGTGCCACACGCTTGCCTTCCTACTGTATGCACCTTGTTACAGGGGTCATAAATTTAGAGAGGGGTGTGCATCATTTTGAACGGCGCTAAGATTTTGCAATATATATAGAGAGAAATCATATTCCATCCTTGGTCCCAAAATTAAAAAATCAGCTTGGGGAATCTTTAAAATTCTAATTTTTACTGCATAATACTAGTAAAACTATCCAACTTTTAAGTAGTCATACCTTTATCAAAAATAGTAATTTTATAATTTTTGAAGACACTGTCTACACCAGCAGTTTTTTTATGAGGATCCTGAATATACCATTTTGTCAAGAAGTATGAAATGTATATTTAGTTTACCTTTTTCATATTAGTATGCTATAAATCAACAAATGCAAAATGGCTGGTGGAACAACAACCTAATAGCTGTAATACTAGTACAAGAAGTAATACTCCCACTATTAGTAGTTCTAGTAGTAGTAGTAGTGAGAATACCACTGGTGCTTCTACTACTAGTACTAGTACTACTACTACTAGTACTAGTACTACTAGTACTACTACTAGTACTACTAGTACTACTAGTACTACTAGTACTACTAGTACTACTAGTACTACTACTACTACTACTACTACTCTGCTAGTAGTGGAATTGCTGCTAGTACTAGTAGTATTAGTAGTAGGTCTACTAGTACTACTACTAGTAGTACTAGTAGTATTATTACTGCAACTACCACCACTAGTAGTTCTAGTTCTAGTTGTACTAGTGGAATTCTAGTGCTAGTACTACTGGTAAAAGGAGTACTACTAGAACCTGGATGTTGTAGTATGACCAGCAGTACTACTAGTACTAGTACTAGTACTAGTAAGAATGGTACTCCTGTTACTACTACTAGTACTAGTAGTAGTAGAACTACTAGTACTAGTACTAGTACTACTAGTAAAACAGTAGTAGTAGTAGTAGTAGTAGTAGTGCTACTACTACTACTAGTGCCTGCAACTAGTATTATTATTGTTACTTGTGATAGTAGGAGTACCACAACAACAACTACTACTAGAACTACTAATAGTGGGAGTATTTCCACCACCAGCCATTTGTTGTTGTTGTTGCTTTAAAGCATCATACTAGTACTATGAAAAAGGTAAACTAAATACATTTGATACTTGACAAAATGGCATATTCAGAATCCTCATAAAAACTGCACTGGTGTAGAGCGTGTCTTCAAAAATTATAAAATTACTATTTTTGATAAAGTTATCACTACTTAAAAAAGTTGGATAGTTTTACTACTAGCAGTAGTAGTGGTACTTGGTACTGAATTATGCAATAAAAAATTAGAATTTTAAAAATTCCTCAAGCTGATTATGATTTTTCGAATCGATGCGCACACCTCTAAATTTATGACCCCTGCCTCGTTGTGTGTCGTACCGGTACTTCGTGAAGTTGTACTTGTAGCACGCTTCAACGCATGCCATGAAATTAAATTTATGATTAAGTTAAAGATTAAGTTGAAGAATACACAATAATATCATCTACAGAGATAGACTACAGTACGGGTACAGTAGGATTTTGGTAATCAAGTAATTTACTTCACTTTTAATAATTTTATTAAAGTTCTTCATTGCAGATAAAAGACCAATAGATTTTCCTCATTCTCTAACGATATTTGTCAATATAAGCCATAGTTTTTATTTAAGAAAATTAATTACAGTATTACTGTAATGCATACAACGGAGTTAATATCACTTGACAATGTTTATTGTACTTTTACAATTTACAAAAATTATTTATTTATGTAACGATCCATTTAAGAGCTCCCCGACAAATATACAAGCTATTCGTAAGACGTACGGTACTTCATTTTTGTTATCTTTCCCGGAGTGTTTTAGAATATCAATCAACTAAATTTGGTCCTCTTTCTCGGATGTAAAAAACATCAATGATATTTGAGCGAAAAAACCGTCAAAAAACGTCACAAACGACAATCTATATTGGTTTTTACACGTCCAACTTTGTTCCTGGGCGAGTTGTTGTTGGGCCCCTTCTCAGTCTCATTTCTACGGTAATAAACGGATGCGTTTAAATTCAAATCATAGGACAACGCAACAGCAACCCTGGCACCGACAGAGGAAATCACCATGGAGTCTCATGCTTACCATGAGTTCGACCCTCAAGGGATCGAGAAACTTCTCCAAAAGGAGCTTTATGAACTATCCGTGGAAGATCGTAATGATATTCTCGAAGAGATCCATGGGGTTCGATGCGTCGCGGTCCCCGAAACTCCACAACTCCTATCTGAATCTCTGATGATGCTCGAAAATGAACTTAGAAACACGTACGCGAGTTCGCCCACAAAAACGGAGCATGCTCACTATAGCAGGAACGAGCAACAAGAGTTGAAACTTGTTTTCCAGAAGAGTCTCCAATATCCCAACTCGTACATCCATCAGAACAATTTCCGCCTTTCGTTCCTGCGGTACGAGTTTTTTGATATCCGAAAGGCCGCCAGAAGGATGGTCAAGTTTATGTTTTGCGTGACCAAATATTTCGGGGACTACGCCCTCCAGCGCAAGATCGTCCTGTCAGATTTTACAAAGCCTGAGATAAAAGTAATGAAACTCGGGCACACACAGCTTCTACCATTTCGGGATAGGAGCGGTCGGCGGATTGTTTGTGTCTTCCCAGATGCCGATTATTTTGCAATCGATTACAGAATACGAGTACGTTGAAAAGATAGATTGTGCTTGAATTCACGAGAGGAAACAATGCCTTGTGTCGTGTTTCCTTGTACAATATTTTTTTGGTATTAGTTGTGTGTCGTTTCTCATTTTCAGCTGCTTCCAATTTGTTGTTGTCGTATGTTATCTAACCATCAATCGGCTTGATTTTTGTCGACCGACAGATCAAAATTGCTCTCTATATGAATTTTGTAATGGGTTCGGGTGGATCGACCCTCGAAGACGACATTCAGGACGATGCGGATACGCAGCGAAAAGGCGCTGTCTTTCTCGTTTGGATGGATTCAAAATCAAAGCCAAACATCGAGCCACCGACTCCGGCAGTGGATGGAACGGCACAGTCAGCAGCCAAGAAGTCGCTCAACAACAACATCGATCTTATTCGAACCATGGGAATCGAGTTCCAACAGGCATCGACCGTCCGAGTCAGTGCTATGCACATGTGTACACCAGACACGCCCCTTTTCCGATTGCAGCGATCCTTGATCTCACTTAGTTTTGGGCCCTTTCGTTCAAGGCTTTGTATGCATCTTGGAGAAGCCGTCGAAGTCCACTACGTACTTAAAGGTTACGGAATACCCACCGAACAAATACCAATTTCGTATTCCGGGAACATCAAAACTAACGAATTGAAGCGGTGGTGCGCAACACGCTCTATCATGGAGGATCCTTCCCTGCAAACATCGTTCGACCGTCGGAACCTAGTGGAATTCCCCCGGCTCATCGACGTCGTTTTCAAAAATGGCACCTCGGCCTATTCCAATCCGGGAAATGTCCACTTCCGGAGTTTGATGGAATGGAAATACGAAGAACTGCAGCACAAGACCCAGATAAAGCTTGTCAGAGGCCAGAAGGAGGTATTGGTGAAGCACTTGATAAATGGTCTTTTGGAAGAAATTGAAGAACGCAACTTGCGGCTCTTAAATTGGAATGCAAAGGACGCTTTTTGGTGTAGGTTGTGCGAAACAAAGCTGATTAGGAAGAAACTAAGCTACATTGTCCAGGAATTTCTTGAAAAATCATTACGTGATGCCGCGGCTACCAAAAGCAAGCAGGTCAGTCAGTCTGCGACATCTATATTCTTGCAAGACAGATCACCGCATATCACACGCAGTCTACAACAACATATACCGTGCACGACGTCACCTTCTAACAAAGAAGGCATAGACATTTCTCAAGACTTTGATGTTCCACCCAAACGGAGAAAGAGATCCAGTAGCCTCGATATGGACGATTTCATAGATCCAGATCTGAACGAAAATATTCACACGATATTCTCTCCCATCCGTCCTCAACCGGTGGTGTCGGGTTTCAATAGCTGTGGCGTCTGCGAAGGTTGTAAAGGTTGTGAAGGTTGCCGTTAACATTATCATCGATAGTTCTCGTACAGTAGTTCACTTCGTCTTGTGTTATTACACTGTAATAAATGCATAATGGGATGTTCATCCCAGAAGCACTACTAGTTCCTCCCCAAGGTCCAAGAACATCGACCTTTTTCGGCATCCCAGGATCGGCGTCAGCAATGCATCGAAAAAACAATTGATGCAATTCTCAAAGACCTCCGAAATCTCCGAACAGCACCTGAAATTGTAGGTTGTTGGCCCCGAGTGCAAGGAATCGTGGTAGGAGTGTTCGTCTTCGTTTTCGTCTTCGAAACCTTCCTCTGTTTTGCCGTGTCTATCATCATCCCATGACATGTTGTTTGCGGGTTCGTTGCATTGTCCCAATACCAGATATCGTTGGGCACGAGTTTCTGCCGCCTTCTGACTTTGGATTGTCTTTCCACGTGATCGGTAGACTTTCCGAAGCCGTTCGGGATCTAGGATTCCACTGCTATAGTGGCTGTTGCTGCTGTTCCTGCCTGCGGAACGTCGTTTCCCATAAATTATGCGGCACATCGAGTGTTGACGGATTTGCTCTTGTAGGACCGCATCCACAGCGGCTTGTTTATAATGATTGCGATACCTACGATGGTATAGATACCGCTCGCCGACCCTTGCTGTGTTCATTGTCGATGCCTGTGTCGATACTGAATCTGCATTCGCACTCTTGGATATGCTGTTCTCTATCTGGATCCTGTCTTCGATGAAGGCTTGCTTTCTCATTGCCTCTTCTTCCGCTCGTGTATACCATATCTCCTGTCTCTCTCTTTTGCTGTATGCGCATATTGGACGAACATATGAGAGGGTAACGGCATCAAGAAACTCCATGCAAAATACTTTGTCGATTCGATCCTGTTTCATCACCAGGGTTGGAAATCCAGCAAATGTGACCTCTTTTTGCTTCCGTTTCCTCTTCGATGGCAGGACAGCCGCATTTTGCAACGCTCGAGGATGATTCCACTGCGAAAATGGTTTTTCTTTCATATTGATGGGTAGTTCTCCACAAGAATCCCTGTTGCTACTGTAATTTGTTTGAGACATTGCGCTTTGGGAACGCAGCGTTGTAGAACAATCGACTATATCAATTGGTTTCTGAAGTTTCGCGTCAAGCTGGCGTGACCCTTCCTGGTCGTCCTTGTCGTCGTTGAAACATTCTATGGGAATCGAATCACGGTTGTCATCATACAGATTCAATTCGGATCTTGCTTGCAGGCTTGGACGTGCAGAAGTCGTTCTGGTGGCTAAGGCCTTACAACTTCGTAGGTTGCTGTGATTTTTCTTCAAAGGCAGCGATTTTTCCTGACCAAAGCTCGTTTTCCTCTCCGCAAAAACTGGGACGAGGCTATCGGCATTTTGGGTTTCCTTTGATCTTTCCTGCTGATAAAGTTGAAGAAAAATACTAGTAGAAACTGTTGTTGTTGTTGCTGTTGGCCGTGATTGGTATCGTTGACATTGTTTTGGAATCGAACAGGAGGAATCGGACCCGATGACCAATCGATTATGTAATCGCCCCGTCACTGGTTCTCCTCTGATGGCATTCTTGTTGTAACCGATAGTTATTTCAGTCAGGATCATTGTTTTGGACATTCAAGTCTCAAAATATAGAAACGAACCCTTTGGACTATTGATGCTGTTGTGTGCACTGGAAGTTTGAATGAAGAATAACTGTTGGAAAAGAACAGTAGACCGTGTGAAACTTATGTGGGGTTTCAGTTTATCTCGAATTCGAAGTCTTCTTCTTTGCTTGAACATATGTGTTCGTTGACATTTTCCCTGTCAGTCCCTTGTTCCTTTCGCTTCGCTCTGTGGGATGCACGATTAGCTCGTGCCACAAGGTAAGGCACCTACCGGTATGTTCTGACGGTGTTGGATACAAAGTAACAGTACTGTATTACAGTAACTTGATACTACTACATGATGATTAATAGTTCTTCTTGATGTCGAAAATAGGAAGAACTTCAAGTACCGTAAAAATTGTTCGAAGTTGATGGAAAATTGTGATAGTTTCCGGAAGATACTTATTTCGAGGACAAGAAGTTGTTGTCCGGCTGCCACACGAAAACTTATCGATCTACACTAGTCAAAAAGCAGCAGGAGTGTCACGAAAGTAATTACGTACTGTGTGTGGGATGTCATTCATTTTTGTCGTCGCTTCGTAGATATTTATTTTTTGTCGGAATTGGCTTGTTATGATACTACGCGTTTCATAACAATTGAATACAGTCGGAAAAGAGAGCAAAAAGTAATAATTTCAAGTTCTTAACTTTGATTTGAAGTTATGAACTTTTGCTCGTACATCATGTACCAGGTTCTACTGAGCTAGTTTTTTAATATGACTGAATGACCGAATCACGATTCCCCTCAAAACAAAAAAAAATGGTTCAGGGCGATTGAGGTGATTCAATCATGAATCCGGCCTTTCAATCATGAATGCAATCCAAAAACTAGCTCAGTAGAACCTGGTAGACTTTCTACCAGGTCATTTTGAAGTTGATAACTTCAAATCGAAGTTAAGAACTTGAAATCATTACTTTTTGCTCTCTTTTGCGACCGTATTCAATTGTTATGAAATGCGTAGTATCTTAAGTATTACTACGGGTTTCATAACAATTGAAATCGGCCTCGAAAGAGAGCAAAAAGTAATAATTTCAAGTTCTTAACTTCGATTTGAAGTTATGAACTTCAAATGTCCTGGTAGAAAGTCTACGAGGTTCTACTGAGCTAGTTTTTGGATGGCATTCATGATTGATTCATGATTGAATCAGCTCAAACCATTTTTAATCGCCCTGAACCATTTTTTTGTTTTGAGGGGCCCCGGGAATCCATTCAGCCATTCAGCAGTCATTTTATAAAACTAGCTCAGTAGAACCTGGTACATGATGTACGAGCAAAAGTTCATAACTTCAAATTGAAGTTAAGAACTTGAAATTATTACTTTTTGCTCTCTTTCGAGGCCGATTTCAATTGTTATGAAACGCGTAGTATCCGTACTAGTATGACACATTTGTGTCAACAAACTTTTTCTGTACTGTACGAGACCTATCTGCTTGATGATTTATGATTTCAGGAGCAATTAACACTGCACCGTGATGACGACAGACCAAGTGAGAGAGTCATTTGTCTGGTCTGTACTTCCTCCGTCCAACAATGACCCCCATCCGGTGACTCTAATTTTACTGTCTGAATATGATTGTCCCCTAATTTACTTAACACTTATCAAATAATTTAATTTAACCCCAAGTACAATGTGACTGTGTAGAATATGTACAAACATTACAACCAACTAGGAATTTGCAGGGGTGCGTTCAAAAATTAATTTTTGACACATGAAAATACACCCTATCGGGCGATTCCAAAATCAAGCAACATGGCGTCGACTTCCAATACAACAGACAGCGATGAGGCACCCATTGTCATGACAGCAACAAGAAAGAGATCTAATGGAAGGCTGAAGAAGGCAATTGCTGAACAGGATGCTGTTGTTCTTAAGGAGTATCTCATGCAACAGGATAAGAGGGAAGCTGAAAGAGACAAGAAGGCTGACGAGAGGGACAAGAAGGAAAGAGCAAAAAGGGATGAAGTGCAAGATGAACAATGGCTTACCATGGCTCAAACATTTGCCACAACCATGGCCTCAACAGTGGCAATGGTGCTCACTGGGCACACAGGCAACAAGCGCTGTTGCACCAGTGAATCCCATGGTGAAAGCGACTAATTTTGATCTTCCAGTCTTCCAGTTAGCTACAATTTAACAATTATGATTTAAACCAGCAGTATTATTGTACAACAGCAAAAAACAAAATAATGAGCATCAATAACAGACCAGCACAAGCTTCTTCTTAGCATGCATTAGACTGTGTTGTGCCAAATTTTTGCCGTGGGTTTCTGTGCTGTTAGCAGACTAGCAGTATTGGTTTTTGTGCATACCCTTTGTCGGAGTGGTTGGGTTTTTGTGCATACCCTTTGTGGGAATGGTTCAAAGCAGAATATACTGCAATGAAGATGAATATCTTAAACACAAAGACAGAGCAATGCAACATCTCAAAATATTGTGTAATGAAGATAAGGTATGCAAAACAATGCATGTGAGTGCCAATCAATGCATGTGATTTGAAAGTAAACCTGGTTTGTGGGATTGCACCGCACATGCTTAATATTTCTAATCCTGGTTTTCATTGGTACCATCAGCAAAACTGAGAACAACACAGCAGTTGAGGAGTGCTTGGTCAAGTCCTGACTGGAAGAGGAAGACAAAGGGGGAGTCAGCATACCTACAGATTGCAATGTGTGGTGTTCTTCTGTCCCTTCTGTTTCTCTCCTCTTGGGTCCTTTGTTTCCTTCCCATTCTGCTACCAAGCAATTCTTATGCTTGGTTGCCCAGTATATGCAAAGGGCCTCAACAACACCCATTGTGTCCCTTTTGTTTGCTGGAAGGGAAGTATGGTCTTTTGTTTACTAGGGAACAGCTCAAATTTATGAGCAAGTGCTTGTTCTTGTGATTTTTACACTACTACTAGTAGTACTAGTACCGTAGTAATTAAAAATTTTGTGTTTTAACTAGTACCAGATAATTAGTACGCGCAGGCCCACTTTTCCAGTCTTAGTCATTGCTATTGGCTTGATTCCAAATTCCTTGAAGACTAGAAAGAGGGCCTAAAAAATGTCCATTGGGACCCTGTTTTTAATGATCCCCGTTACACTAAATAGTCTAAAGTACACTGTTTAGACTTTTAGACAATCTAGATTAACAGGAATCACCCATTAACACAGGAGCAAATTCAATTTTGACAATGGTATGGTGCAACTCTTTTGAATACAAATGACCAATATAAGAATGCAATCTATAGTGATTTGAAGTATAGCCTCAAGAACAACTCTATCTTAGATATTATGTGCAAGTAGCAGCATATCAAAATGACCATTGAAACCCTTTCAACCCTTACAATCAAAATGGCATGATTTAAAGGCTCTGTTTGAAGGCTTATAACTTTACTATTGCTTGTACAACAATTGATGGCACAATACATTTCTGAATAGTATTGAATAAGACAAATAGAAGAAAAAAAGAACCATCCAAATTGGCCAGCATATATTGAGCTTATTTCAGTAGTAAGCTTGTTTGGGGACCATTATTCTTGGACGGAGGAAGTACTCTACATGATGTAAGTACATACAGTACATACTTGCTTAGGACCTGGTATAGTCAGGGGTCAAAAAAGGAGGGGTGCACGGCAGATTTTTTTCCTTTTTATTGCCCATGCCTACAAGGTTGTGGTGTTATATATCGCATGACAGGTATTTTGCAGTACTATTTCTACACATGAGGCCTACGCAAAGAACAGTGCAATATATAGCACCCTCATGGTCAACCTATCTCAGTTGTAAGAAAGAAACTATTTAGTAAGTCAAAGGAATACATCATTCAGAGGGTTTCTGAGCCCTTTTGGCTCAGTTTTTGAGAATTTGAGTTGGTGAAACAAAATTGATATCAGGACACTGCTATTATCATGGATAAAAATCGAAATTGAAATCATTTCCAAGAATGGATTCCTCTTAAAAAACATAAAATACTTTTTGTTACTACTGGCATTTACTAAGGCACTAACTACTGGGCTTCTCTTATTAGACTTCTTCAAGAACTACCCCCTTCACAGCCTCCAGAACTGAACAAACAGGAAGATTTTTGACAGCTCTTTCCTCCTCATTCATCCCTGCAAGGCAGGTTAGAGCCTCATCTTGTTGTCTCTCTCTCTCCCTTCCTAATGCAGTGTCCCTGATTGTGATATCTTCTTCCTTCAGCTTCTGCACTTGAGCTTCCCTCCAGGAAGGCTCTGCATGAGGGACATTTCTGACTTCCATCCACATACTGAATACACTTCTGTCTTTCTTTGCAGGGATCTTCTTCTGTTGTTTCCACTGGCACAACAGTTTGAGTGTTGAAATTGGAAGTGACTTGGCTGGGATCTTCCAACTTGTACACATCTCTCCCCTTTGATAGCAATTCCTCAATCACTCTGGTTGCCTTTGCATTCAACACACTCACTGCTGCTTGGGATTTCTTCTTTGCTGCTTCTAGCTCCTTAACAAGCTGTTGTTGCCTCTTCCTTTCTTCTACAATGAAATAGTCATCACTGTTTAGTGTATCACCTTTGATCCTAACAAAATGCTCACTACTAGAGTATTTGATACTTTCAAGTGCAGCATCTTGCTTTTCCTTAGTCCCAGCTTGTTTGATGCTGATAGCCTTGAGGCATATCTTTGGTAAATCTCTCCATTAAATCCAGCATTATTGAGTACTTAATAGATTGCTGCATCATACACTTGTTCCCATTCAGCAAGATCTGCCTTCTTTCAGTGCCAGTATCAATGCTATCATCTGGCAGCATAATTGCACCTTTCTGGCCATCTAKGCATTGCCTGATAAACAGTGCAATCCTAATCTTTGCCCAGACCGCCTTTGTCTTCTCAACTGCAAAGGCATTGTGAAATGCAAGCTCAAGAATTTTTCTGCTTTCCAAAGACAACCAGTAGAAAATTGGTCTGCCGGACCTTTTCTCCATTTTTACGATGGTGTAGCACAAGCTTTTCCAAATTTTGTCTGTACATTGATTTGTACTGGTGACAATTTTAACTTTATTGCAAACAACTTTGTACAATCCTTTGAACAGCAAATGCTGGTCTTACAGTACTGTTGGTCCACTTTCAAGGCATGTGAGTAGCATTTGGAGTAGTTGTGGGCTTCTAGGCTGATTGTTCATATCTGAACAGCCAAGATTAACCAGAAAAGTCAAAAGAAGCAGTCTCAATCTTTTTGGGCAGAGCTGCATTTTGGCCTTTTTTTTAGGAGGGGTATCTTCCAAGCCCAATTGCAGCCTTCTCCACACAGTATCTGTCTTTAGATTTTCTTGATCAATGGTCTCTTACAATTTTCTCAATGGATGTACCATCACAATATGTACACGTATTGTATTTCGCTTACCTGTGTAGTTCAGTATTGGACGTGCCCTAGAATCAGGGCCATGCTTTGCTTTAAAAATGTACGCATACTATTCATGAGTCTCTACCGGTACAATTATGGCCCCCGCATAAATTTTTCGTACTTGTTCTTCTTCTGTGCCTCCGTAATAGTGCTCCTAATGTCAAGCACACTAAAGTCAAGTACTTGGCAATTCCCCGGGTGTCAATTTTTTTTCATTTTCTCGTCTTTATTTCTCCTCTCCCCCCTCCTCCTCCACACAAAAAAACTACCGAGTCCCAAAATATTTCTATTAGTGGTCCTTACTACTGGGGATATACAATCAGTGCTTACTACTTGAGAATTAATATTAGTGCTTACTACTGGATCACCTCCATTACTACTTACTAGTTGGGATGCCATAGTAGTAGTGAACACTGCGAACTGCTGGGTAAGGGGGTTCTGTTGGTGCTGCTCTACCCAGCAGTTCGCAGTGTTCACTACTATGGCATCCCAACTAGTAAGTAGTAATGGAGGTGATCCAGTAGTAAGCACTAATATTAATTCTCAAGTAGTAAGCACTGATTTTATATCCCCAGTAGTAAGGACCACTAATAGAAATATTTTGGGACCATGGAGAAATTAAACAACGGAAATATTTTCATTTTCGTCCGTTGGATGCCTTTTTGAACTGGTTTTAACTGGGCCCTCTGTTAGTTTTTAAGGAAGACAGTCACCAACCAAGATCAGGGATTCCCATAGGTTTTTCCATGTTATAACAAAGAGAAACAAAGAGAGAATTGCCCAGGMAATATTCTCTTTGTTTCTCTTTGTTAAAAATCGACGAATCAAAGAGAAACAAGGAGAAGCAATATTCTCTTTGTTTAAACATACAGAAACAAAGATAATATTGCCTGGGCAATATTCTCTTTGTTTCTTCTTGTATGAACGGGAATTGCAACGGATACGTACGTACTAGAAGGATACGTACGATACGCCATCATTTCACTATGTAAAAATACAGAGAATAGTGCCCAGGTTTAAGAATTTACTCTGCTTAAACAAAGAGAAACAATGAGAAAATAACCCAGGCAATATTCTCGTTGTTTCTCCTTATTAAGACAATGTGAAACAAAGAGAAACAAGGAGAGGCAATGTTCTGTTAGTTTCTCTTTGTTACAACAACGAGAAACAATGAGAATATTGCCCTTTCTAACAAAGAGAAGTACTTATTATCTTTGTTTCTCCTTGTTTCGCGGGGTGTACGGGAAACTATTTAATTTTTTTGAAAATTCTAACTGAGGGCCCTGTAAAAATGAGCTAAAAATTTCTATTAGTATTTGTACGGGGATTGCCAATAACTTGACTTCAGTGCGCTTGACATTAGGAGTTCTCCTCAGTAATGCTCCATAAAGGTAAGAACTACTACGTATTACCAGTTCATACAGGTACTACCTGGTAGTGATTACTGAAAGCACGATTAGGTGTGAATCACAAAAAATGTGATGTCGTGTCAAATAGCACAAAGGCATCACGATAAATTCGAAAATTCACCATTTCCAGACCGTTCTCTGCCACCAACATCGCCGATTTTCTTCCAAACATTTTTTACGGAAGTCAGAAACCGAGAATACCATAATTTAGTGTAATATTTCGAGCAGCAACTTAAGGAAACAATCTACACTACCATTGATCAGTCAATCATAGACGACACTTACAATATCGCATCCTAAAAATAATGCTAGCACAACACTCTCATTCTTCTCCGACAACTTCCATGATGAGCTCACTGTTGCTGACAGAGTTCTTCCTTACCTGCGAAGTATCAACAGCTACAGCATCTGAGTCTACGTCGACAATGCCGATTCATGCGCAGTATGGTCTGCGTCATCAGCCTTGGACATCAGCCGTGGACTCATCATCTACATCTTTTTCGTGGTCAGATTTTCCCCTCATTGTTCACGACGAAGAATACAACAGCGACGTCAATGGGCTTTTTCATGCTTCGAAAACGGTAACACCTATGGATTGTCCCGGGTTTCCATTACATATGACATCGACAACATCGTCCACATCGTCCACATCGTCCACATCAATACCGACCAAGAATATGAAGAAAAAAAGATCGGTTCGATTTGCACCATTCGTAGAAATTCGGACGCATTCTCAAATATTGGGAGATCATCCGTGCTGCGAGGGCGGACTGGCACTGGAATTGGGATGGGAGTACAACAGCAGCTCCGCTCTCCTACCTGAGCAAATAGTAAGAAATGTTGAGAAGAAGGATTGTCAACAGAGTCAATTCAAAATCATAGGCAGGAGTAGCAGCGGTGAAAGTATGACGGGAACACGCATACCCCACCGACGCTCGTATTCGGAGAGGAAACGTCTCTTGATCGAGGTCGGAGGCTACACGTCGGACGAATTGAATATGAAAGACCCTAGGAAAGAATATTGTCTCGTTGGCAGAAACTGCTCCGATCAAAAGAAGAACAGTACCAACGGCATGACGGCTGTATTGCAACGCCAAACACATTTGTCGCGTGTTGGATCGATCACTGAGTCGCTCTGCTCCGTCGTTGCTGCAGGGGCGTGATCACATGAAGCATTGCAAATTTCATAAATACAAACGAATCATCATAGCATTATAGCAGTAGTATTACTATGAACAGTTTATATCAGCACTTATGGATAATGTACTAACAAATATGGCCTCTGCGTATCTCTCTCAAGGAGGCCCAACCCATGGATGATCAGCACTCCGGCGAACAGGATACAAATGTCATACAATTGGCTTACTTCGACGATGAAGCACAATTTAGGCTGACTATTTACCAACAATACAATGATGGGGAGCACTACTACTAGCAGCTACTACCAGTTGTAGCAGATTACTAGTAGTACTAGTAGCTAGTAAGGAGAGGCAGTGCTACTAGTATTATCATTATACAACTACTATTTCATTTGTTTTGTTACATATTTTATTCCTTTCTCAGTAATCATGTTCAAATTTTTTCTCTTCATTTTAAATTTTGTATAATCCTGTTGTTGTTATGAGTAGTAGCCATACTACTACTACTACTACTACTACTACTACTACTACTACTACTACTACTACTACTACTACTACTACTACTACTACTGCTACTGCTACTGCTACTACTACTACTACTACTGCTACTGCTACTGCTACTGCTACTACTACATCACACTAATTGACATTATGGTGCCAAGTTTTTCCTGCGTCCAGAAAATTAAAATTGTGCACCTATTTTGCACAAACTGTTTCCAGTGCTCCAGGTGAAACTGGTCAATCTCTCCACTTTGATAGCCCATTCACAAATTTCCATTTATTGTGGTTTTTCATAATCTTCAATAGCTTTATTTTTACCTTGGTCAGGAGGGCAGATAGTAATCACCTTTTTTCAACAGGTGTTGTGATTACGTCAACAATGACATAGTCAGGTGTTGCATTCAGAGTATTGTCAAAATTGCAAACATTGTTGTCAAGTTCTAAATCCACAGCATTCTTCATTGCAGACTCTATTCTTAGTACTACTACCACTACTAGTAACATGTGATTAACTTTGTCAACTGAAGGGTTCTTATACATCACTGGGTCCTCCAGATTCTCTGGCATGTTGCTGGTGACAGGTCCACCGTGGGTATTGGTCAGGGGAAACTGCTTACTCATGTCAACCTTGTCCTTGATGATTTTGTACAGAGAAGAACCAAAATCAGTGACTCCGTTGTCACAGAGGGTGTAGTAATGGAATCAAATTGTTAGACTTTCACCAAGGTGAGTCCTCAGAAGTTTTGCAGATAAGATGGCGCCTATTTTTTGTTCTGTTTGGCACTATAAAATACAGGATGGTGGTTACTCCTCCTATCTCTGGATGCATGGCAATTTTGATAGAATGATACTAGTACCTCCTTCAGCTTAGGTGGAGCCATGTTTGGTACAGAAGTGTAGAAAGAGAAGGTGGTTTTGTTTGGAACACTGTTCTCAGAGATAATTATGATGATAAAAACCAGAGTGGTTTCCATTGGTTATGTGAGTATATTGCATGCATACACCATATAGTTGGTGGGTTACTGATGCAAATAAGCACCAAATCCAAATACGACATATTCTGGGATTTTCAATAAACTCATTCTTTATCAAAAAAGTCATAGTAGTAGTAGTAGGCATCAAATATTTGATGGTGCCAATGGTACAAAACCATGCACAATACTGCCAATCCAGTTTGTGTAATGCCGTAGTACTAGCACTACTACTTTTAGTAGCAAGAGTATGTGCTGAATATGCGATGAGAACAAAATTGATACAGGTGAGAAATTGCAAAAAGCATGTTATTCTTGCTTCTCAACCAAGAAAAAGATGTACAGATATTGTAGCAACAAAAGGCATTCAACCAGCATCCTCTATCATGAAAATGAATGATCTTTACATCATGATGACTAGTACTATCACCATGGCACAGGTAGTAAAATCATGGTTGCAAAAGCAGTCCTCATGGAACAAAAAGTTGCATGTGGCTGTACTTCTTGTGTCCAGCAGGGGGGAAATAGCCAAGAGTTTCTTGGAGCAGAAGCCCTGAACATGTTGGAATAGACCAAGTACTACATACTGCTGCTAGCAGTATTAGTAGTACTAGTAGTAGCTACTGCAGCACTCACAGTAAATATTCTGATTCTGATTTCAGGTGAAGCCTCCCCTAAGTGCTGGTATCATAGTATTCTTGCAACTTATCTCAGTGATTCCAACACCATCATGCTAATTTCTGACTACAAGTGCTAATACTGAAAGGAGAAGATCTATTGCAATACAACCCAATGCCAAAAAGGAAGGTACTAACCCGATGTCACTCAACCTATGGTAGGAAATATTATAGTATTGGAAATTGTAAGATACTACAGTAATGTAGTGTTGCTATGTTAGTATGATGTTCAATAGTAGCAGAGTTTTTATAATAGGATATTAGCAGATATGAATAGTGATAGCAGCAAAATTTAGATATGGAAGAAAAATGTCGCATTCCCAATGGGAAAGTTCAAAAGTTGTGTGTTGGTGGCAACCAGGCATGCAAGAGACGGAAAATTTGCAGTGCCATGCCACCGGTGGATGGTTGGACTGTAGTTCGAGGTCAAATGAAAATGTACAATGAATGAGAAGGAAGCAATGCTTTGTTTTTGCTTGTTCCGGATTCATATGGACATTTCTTCTCCGATTCCCAAAAACAGATCACCGCTTCGAATCTCGAGAAAGGGTGTCAACAAGAACTCAAAGAGAGAGGAGACACTCTTATCGAGGCAGTACGATGTCTCCAGGGCCATCTTGTCGCTGAAAGAAGGAGTGCGCTTTAGGTTTGCGCCACTCCCGGTCGTTTTCAACGGCTTCGAAGCCAACGAGTCATTTTCCATCGTCGAAGAAGAGCTGGTGGTCGATGTGGTTGACACGGACGATTCATCGTCGCATCTTTCATCGAGCAGGTCCCGAAGGTGTCTCTCTGCCTTGGCCACGGCTCGCTCGTGCGCTTTTTGAGTGTCTCCCGTGATCGAGTAAACCATGGCCAGGCGATCGGGATCGAGGATTCCGCTCCCCTCGACCCGGCCGTAGACGCGGAAGCACATCAACTTTTGTTCATATTGCTCGAGAAGCACGGCATCCATCATTTCCTCGTAGCGGCAGCGTCTCGAGGACGAAAGGTTGTCCTCTGATGGCGTTTCCTGCTGCTTTAGTTTGCTGCCGAATCCATAGTCGATCGATGGCAGGCTTCGCTGTTTCCCAACCACCGGCGAAAAGAGAGAGCACTTTTCAGAGGTAGGCATCTTCTTGCTGTCAGTATTGTTACGGCTGCTTCGCTGGGAAGTCAGCTTGGCGCGGATTGCGTCCTCTTTCATCGAGCTCATCTCTTCTGCCGAGTGCCAGATGTTTCGTTTTTCCTCGGGTGAGTAGTCAGTGTGATGTGGAATGAACCAGACCTGGACCGCGTCAAAGACCTGGTGGACGTATCTCTGATCGATCCCGCACGTGAGGTCATCTACGCCATCATGGTCGTCCAACCTGAGGACAACGTGCTTCGCGGCAAAGGTAACTCTGCGTTCCAAAATAGGAGCGAGGGGCTGTTTCGACAATCTTGAATGGTGCTGTGGTTCTTCTTGTAGCTTTGGGTCTTGCGCTTGTTCGTCTTGGGACTCGAGTTCGAGTCCGATGCCCAGTAAGAGATCGTCTGTTGCACTGTGGCGGCTGATGTCGAGATCGTCTTCAGGAAGGCAGAGATCGATTGCTACTCCTCCTGCGTCTTCGCAGGGATCTTCGTAGTGGAGCGGTTCGTGTTCGAATCGCTTTACATCCTTCACGCAAACGGGGCTATCGCCATGGACGCTCTCGAGGGGAGCTTCTTTTTCCATAGTAAAAAAGCCTCCTGCACCATGTTCGAAGGGCGTCCGCTGGACTAGGTTGGTGCGGTGGTGCAGCTCTTGGATGTAGTCGCCGCCGATTTGGGGGTTCTTGTTGTAGAGCTTCGTCGAAGGAGATTCGTTGCTCCAACGGTTGGGCGAAGAATAATCGGTGTTCTCTGGGAATACAATCATGTTGTTCGGAATTCGGATAGAAAGCACAAGTTCGGTCCGTATTTTAGTAGTTGTGGTGTTCGGCGAGTTGAATTGTGAAACAGTTGGGTGGCATGCAAATAGCTTTGCTTTTTTTGTAAACTGCTGCTGCTTCGATAAAAGGAATTCGCAAATTTCAATTGTGTTTGGCTTCCCGTTGAAAATGTAAAACTGCATTTTAAACTTAAGAAGATGAACAGATTGTACTAGTTTCACACTTGTTTCGACCAATGAACTGCAAGAGATTAATTTCTCTATTAAGAAATCAACTTGAATCTGCAGCATACTGCCGAAAACAATTCAGAAATTTTTATAAGTAAAAAAAAACTTCCGGAAAGTTTTCAAGGATGAGTGGCTATTTTCATGGAAGGATGCCTCATTCTTCTAAGGAAAACGAGGAAAAACTGAGTAAGTGGTGCAGCATTTGAAGAAAAAAGACTGAATTTGTGCAATATTTTATGCGTGGCATATGACTACGTTGTAGATGTATTTAAGGAAAAATGAATGATTGTCTTCTGCTTCTCACGAGCTACCCATGATTGCGACAGTAGTTACTGTACGGTGCGGTATTAACTCACATAACCTCCTAGAGTGCCGTACGAACCGCTACTCATACGTACGTAATGTAATGGCCACGAGGTACGAGTAGTGCATTGGACGTTTGGGAGATTGGTCGAAGTAAAGTTCTGAATTAGCTTTTTGTTTGAACTTCTGAACCACGCGTGCGTCCTTTACCGGTACGAGTACTCGTACTTCTGAATTTGTATTTTTCTTAAAAAAATCCTGATTTATTGGAATACCCCAACCCCAACCTTCCGGAACCTTGGCGATACATGCCGTAGTAAGAGTAACGCAGGAGAACAATTACGAACCTTCATTTAGATGACTCTTAAAATCCGTTACATAGCCGTTCGAAGTCTGAGGAGGCGCAGACGGAATAGAGGAATTGCGTTGGAAATGGCATTTTCAGGTAGAATTAAAAATAAAGATGACGGAATCCGGAGCGCTAAGTTCGACGATCATTAAAGTTGTCCGCTTCCTGTCTCAGGTCGGAAGTTCGTAGTGTCCTGATGGCAGCAATGCGGATTGCTACCGAACTTGTATCCAATCCCAGTTGCTCGCGTACAAGTACCAGTACTGACATGGAGTGTACGTAGGGATTCATATCACAATCAGAAGTGCCGCGGGAAGTGTCATCACAGAAGTACGCTATCAACAGACGGATGTTTGTTCATTTTCATTAGATTCTCTTGCGATTCCACTGCTTTTTGGATCTCATACCGTACGATCAATCAATTCCGTTGACACATCATTTTCCTGACCTTTCAGGGCATTCTTGTCTTCGGTCTATTATTTATGTATTTTCGAACTGCAGTATTTGATCCAGTCCAATTTCATACCGTACGATAGTGAAGAACAGTTACGGTAAGTACCGGCCGGCACGGGATGATTTACACTAGTTGATTGGTATCGGATCAGATCACACCACATGGTCTTTCCATGCCGTACGTACGGTACGATACTGGGTGCCGGATGTCACACAACTTCTCCTGGATTGCTGAATCTGAATTTTCAACTGCCTACCGTATGAAGAAACAAGATACCCAACCTTTGTTTCTTACATTATCACTTACTCATCCTTCTGCCCTTTGATTCCCAACACGTTTTGGCAGATTGTAACTTTGACACCACTCTTCTTGGTTACCGATTTCACAGATCTGAAGGAACGTACTAACCAGTACAAATTCATTGAGAATACAAAATCTTGACAAGGGAAGGCATCCACAGAACATCACTGGTTTGTATCCATCTTCTTAGAACAATTTTTATTCTCGCGTGACTCACGCATCAAGCTGACCCATCAGAGCAGAGCTGAGAGGGAAAATCTATCCCTCCATCGGCTGTCTCGGCCTTCCTTCTTCCTTTGGGTGCACCTACTTTACGATACGCCCCATCATACTACGGTTCGGTACGATCCTGCACATCGCAAGAAGAACAAATTAAATCATTGATCATTGCATACTGATCTCAAAACGAAATTCCATCCATCCATATTGGAATTCAATCAAGGAACAGAAATTAAAAAAGGATCAAGTACTTCAGCTATAATGCCAACGCTACCAAACGAAAAATCATCTTTGCTGCCCAGCACTACCGGTATCTCCGACGAAGACGACAATAATGAAGGTGAATATCGCATCTCGGGCTACGAAGGAGACTATGAGGACAGCAGTTTTCCCACTCTCGTCAAGCGGCGGGATTCCTTTTCGCAGATGAAAATGGTGACCCACAACGACCCATTGCTTCTGTCCACTCATAAATACGAAAGTGCCGAGGATTTCAGCAAATTTCTGGGATCGACAAGTCTCCTGAAAAATGGAATCGAGCAGGGCCTCGCCGCAAAGGACAAGAAGAATTCATTCCACCGATCCAGGTCGTCGAGCTTCACCATGACACTAGAAGTATCACCGGAAGCAGGCAACGGCGATGGTTCACATAAGAAAGATTCGTCGTCGGATATCGCCCAGCCTGTCATCGAATACTACAATTCTTCCCAATCAAAGACAAAATTCAAAACAACACCGAACCAACATACTCGGAAAGAACCCCCAGGGATGCACGAGAGCGAACGACAGCTCAGCCATAACAGCGAGGTCTTTCGGCAAGTGTCCATTGTCTACCAGCAGCAAATTAAAAAACCAACCAATGTGTACCTCAAAAAAATCAAGAAAAACTTTTTCGAAGACGCTAAATCCCTCGCGGAGGGGACGATTCCCCAATCTGTCGTTCTAGCCATTATTATTGGAATTGTCTGTGGGATTGCCTGCTATCTCTATTATTCGGTGCTCTTCTTCGGCCTTGAGTATCTGTGGCACACCCTTCCCGAAACTTATGTCGTCCCCAACTGGGATCCCTCTCTCCACTGGCTGTGGATCCCGTTGGTGTGCTTCACCATGTGCACGCTTGTCGGATTGACGGTGGTGTACATGGGGGAACCCGGTGATCTACCCTACACCATCTCGCGGGTCCATTGTGAGGCCTATATTCCCATGGACCATGTCAGTCCGATGGTGTTTGCATCCATGTTTTCCATTTTGGGTAAGTGAGATTGAAGCAATGCAAATTTTTGACCAACGGTGCTCCCGCAAAAACATATGATAGAATGTCAACAGGTTTGAATGGTTTCTGTCGTTTAATCACCCTGAATTTCCTCCTCATGAATCCATTGTATTGTGTTTTGTGTCGACAATCAAATAACTTATTTGTACCTTTTCATTCCAATGTTTGACTGCAAAAAATCACATTAAATGAATTAAAACCGCCCAGGTGGTGGATCGCTCGGACCAGAAGCCCCCCTCGTGGCCATTTGTGGCGCGCTCGGTGGCTTTGTCTCCCGCCGAATATTTCGMCAGTCGTCGACGAATGTAGTCCGGAAACATACCTTCATGGGAATGGCCGGTGCACTGGCAGCCTTTTTTGGTATCCCACTGGGGGGATCTCTCTTTGCTCTGGAGGTCTGCAGTCGATTTGGCGTCGAATACTTTGAGCACCTCGTAGAGAGCATTTTCTGCGGCGAGATTTGCCTTTGGGTCTTTCGAAGTTTGGCCGGTTTGCCCATTGAACCGATCTGGAATTTGACCTCCATCGCCAACCCGCGTATGATGGAATGCGAACCGCATCTGATCGTTCTCGGGGCCCTCATAGGTTTGTACGGAGCCCTGCTCGCCTACATTTTCGCCTCATTTCACTGGAAGAACATGGAATTCTTTAGCAAACTGGACCTACTGGACAACAAAAATGCAGTTTCTCGGGCGTGGTTGGGCATGGTCTTTATTGTCATGGTTAGTGTCTTTATTCCGCATACCGGTACGTCACACGTTCGCAACGCGACTTAAAAACTCTGGTGCGCCAGGGAATCCAAATGCAAAGTTTTGAACTAACTCATTTTTTCTATCAATTCACTCGTCTCCGATCATTCAGCGTTTTGGGGCGAAGAAGAAATACAGATCGTGGCAACTATGGGGCCGTCTAAGGATCTGCCGAACATATGGCCACCGACGGGCCTGATTGGATTTGAAATGGACGGCCCATTCAAAGTCTTTCTTGTAGGCTGTTTCAAACTGATTTCGATCTCCTTCACAGTTGCTGGTGGACTCCGTGGGGGTAAGCATTTTGTGTTTTCTTGCTTGCTTTTTCGACAAAATTGTGATTTAATCCAATAGATATGCACTGCGACTAAACAGAAAATGTTCTGTGTTGCATTCTCTCTCTCGCTAAACCGCGTCGATGCATGCACCTTTTCCTTTGCTTCGCTATGCTTTTTGAAACGAAAAAGGCTATATCTTCCCTCTCATGTGCTCCGGATCCGCCTTCGGAAGGCTCCTCTATTTTGTTTTGCCGGAAACCATCCCCATGCAGGTAGCAGTGTTGTGCACGGCTGCTGCTATGAATGTTGCAATTACGCGAACCTCGCTGGCAACAACTCTCATCTTGGCAATGCTCCCAGGGGAGCCAATGGCTGTTCCACCAATTCTAATGGCCTCCCTCTGTTCGCTGTTTGCGACGTCGTATATGGTACGTGGCGCCACGTCAGGGAGCTCAACCGTCTCCGGAATCACGGAGCTGCTCTCCTTTGTTTTGCTTCGGTCTACTTCAGCGAGATTCTTGTGGATTAGTCTATGGCAGCGACTTCTCTGTCTCACAAAATCAAATTTACTTTGTTTTCTATTTTTCCTCGTTGGACGCTTTGTGCCATCTTGCTGCAATCCAAACAAACCACAAACCACAGCCTTTCATCAAGAGTCAAATTACACGCAGCGATATTGACCACAGTCTCTTCCACGAAGAGCACAACATTGACATTGATAGTGTATTCACTGACACGGACAACGAGGATGAAATGTCTCTGTACTCGATGCAGTAAAAGCTTTTCATCTTTTTTTTTGTATTTGAAGAATTGAAAAGGTTTCAGACGACTTTAAAAATCTTTCTAAAAGCATTTTGTTTGTTCAGCCAAAATCTTCCGTGATACCTTTGAATGGAAGACGAATAATATGATCCTAAATTACTGTAACTCAAGAAACAAAAATTCTTTCTCTACTTCCAACTTGTAAACGTACGGCATTTCTGTGTTTCCCCCTCTATTGAATGCAACACAAAAAACTCCTGAAACATAATGTCATTCTTCTACGTTAGCACGTACGAATGCTCTGTACGGAATCCTTCTGTGAGTCTATGAAGGTTATTACTACTAGTTTTTAGTGATGCAACTGAAGGGCTGTAAGGTGAAACTGCTCAGAGCAGTATCAACGGGCTCTTGGGTACGAGTACGTATGGAGGAACTGCTCGGAGTACTACTTATTGGTGCTTTTTGAAAACCTATTCATTCTATTGGGTTTTTAATCGTATTCATGGATGAAATCCATAGGCAATTATGGCACTACGAGTACTACGTACGTCCTGAAATTGAGTGCCGTTACAGTAGTTCGAAGTACGAGTACTTCATTGTAATACAGTACTGTAATACGTACTACTAATTAATAGTACGACTACTCAGGAACGTAGGTACGTACTTTGTGTTACAGTAGAAGTAGAAGCTATTCCGGGACCGATCACAAAGTGGGATTGAGCCCATACCGGTACGTCTGGAACATGGTACGAGTACCGTGAGTCGGTTCTCTTTTTTCTTTTTTCGATCACACACTATACTATAGTGCCCGAAGGAACTATTGTGCAATTCCTTTCTGGTAGATTCGGTGGAACGGTTCTAAGAGTACACAGAAAGCATCTCAAACTATGCTAGCAGCGTTGTCTCAAAATCAACACTACTGTACTGGCAGTATCGAGCACACTTTCCAAATTGAAAGCGAAGACTTTGTGCTTTTTCGATCATAATTTTAAAATCAAGCTATCTGAAAAACTACCAACACCTTATCATACAGGAACAAAACAAGGAAGTCTCCGCAAGCAATAATGCCACCATTTGCTTTGCCACTAAGCGTTGCTAGTAATCGCTCTACCTCCAGCAACAACAACAGCTGCCACAGCTGTACGCCGAGACCTTCGTCTCTGATGAAGAGAAAGCTCTTCGAAGCATCCGAGTTGTCGCGAAAGAATGATAATCGAGCCACACTGAGCCCTCAAAATTCGCATCGCCACGACAAGCAGTGGATTATGGTTGTGAAGTCGAACGGAGATCGAGGCAATGACCCGTCTGGATTGCTGCATTCGACTCTCTCATCGAAAATCCCAGTCACAGGGTCCACCAAACGACCAATGCCATCCATGTTGGAGGATACCAAATCCAAACACAAAGTTGTCACAATGGACTCTCCTGCGTCTACTTCCGCGCCAACAACTGCTGGTACCAAGCTTCATCAAACCCCTACTTCGAAAGCAGGAGTTGCAGCCATCGCGGCCTTGCAACACGAACGCCAGAGACAAGCAGCACTACTGCTTGTCCCACAGCTGCCAATCCACGACAGCGATGATGCTCTTAGCAGTAGTATCAACAGCGTCGGTACCGGTGCCAGCGACATGTACGCGACAAGCAACAGCGCCGCCGATAGCGATATCGATAGTGCCAGTAGCTTTGGCAACGACTGGGATTGGTCGCCGTTGCCAGATTGGACGAATAGCGCCCATCCCATCTCCTTTCCTGATCGTACCCCCAGCTTTACTTCCACGGCTTTTTCGTTGGCGAAAAACAGCTTCGAAGACGAAGTTAAGCATCATTCAAAGAAATACAATGATCCTAACGAAAGGAAAAGCGACCCCGAAGACCAGCAAAACACGCCGCCACCGCAAAAAAATGACGACGCCAGAAGCGAGCCGATGTCAAACACGCATGCCACCGAGCGACGAACGCCCGATGCAGTGCTGCGTTCCTCGTCGTCACCAGCGAACAAATGCTCGATCGCAGACGAATTGTCGTTGCTCCTATTGTCCCTGCGAAATGTTTCTTCTACTACTGATGGCAAAGGTCCGAACAACACCCATGATACGGATACTATGACAGACACTGTTCTTCCGGTACGAAATAGCGGCAGAAGAAGATCCACCACGAGAGCAGGACGACTACAACACCAACGACACAGAGACACCGAAAGCCACCGTCGCCGATCAAAGGACAGCTTTTTCTCGAGCAGCAGCAGTAGTAGTATTGGCAGGAGCAGCGGTAGCAGCAACAACAACAGCCATTCCCGTCCGAATCCACGTGGCAGAAGCCGCAATCGATCGAGAACATCGACAAATGCTTCAAGATCTAGTACAAAAACACATTCGGCGAAAAGCCGCCGAAAGTCCTCCACCGGCGACCGCGAGACGAAGGTTCGACAACTACGACGAAGGCACCCACGCCGTGATGCTTCGGCAAAGGCACGCGATGCTTCCCGAACCAACACGTCGCAATGCCCACAAACTGCTGATAACACCAATCACTATTTGCGTCGTTCACCGTTCATGGTACGAGGCAGAATAAAGTGCCCTCGGCACAACAGGGAAGCGTTTGGCAACGTCCGTAACAAGAATCCAAAAGAGGCAGCAACCAATCCATCGTCGCAGGAACTCAATCAGAGCCACAAACATGTTTCGTCTCTCGCCTCTGCTTCCTGTCGAAGCCTGGAGCAACAACCATGGTGCGCGAGTACCAATCGACGGCAAAGGAAGCAACATTGTGATCACAAGAGCTCCAGCAAGAACAGTAGAAAACAAGAATCGATGCTTCCTTGTACCTATCACGGTACAACCAAGACAGGTGCTGGAGCAATCTGATTAGGTTCCCGGACCGCATGATATACAATTGATGGGGCAAATGAGTGTTTGTGTTGTCCATATTTGACCGAACGTGTGGCGCAAACTAAATACCATTTCTAATTTGCACTAAGTGAGAAATGAGAAGATACTATTCCAGACGGTCCTTTGTCGCCTATTTGGTGTGCTTTGTACGGCACATTGTGTTTCGGATGGATCTGATGATCAGATCGTAATATTAATATTTAGCGATGTGACTGCCGTTCGGTTCCCGATACCAAATTTCGGAAGTGAACGTCGATCTGAATGCTTTTTGACCAATCGACAAATAATTCGCAGCTTCGAACTGCGTTGATGGATTTGTTGTTTGTTCATCAGTTGTCTGACAGAGTTTGTAAAAATATTCTTAGATTTTGTCTTCGGGAGCATAGTACCCCTTGATGAGGCGTTGGACCTCCAGCTGGATATCCGTCTTGCCGGTAGATATGGCGTGCTGAGCGGCCGCTGTGAGAGCTCCCGCCGTTTCTTGCAGAGGCGTTCCCTTCGTTTTGTACTCAAAGGAAGCACCTGCATCGTCGTTGCCCTTGACACTCACCTTCGTGATGGTGTCGAAGGACTGCATCCCCGTCGCTTCGGCGGTCCGGCCCCATACGTTTGTCACCAAGACAAGCGGACCGATGGATTCCGTCAGGTCGAGCTCGGGCTGGGTGTCGATCGGAAGATCCACATCGAGCTTCCCCACCAAAAAGACATACTTTTGGTCTTCTTCCCTGGCCTGGGCACGTTCGGCCAGCCACCGCTCGCCCTCTGGGGACGGTTCAATCTCCAGTTGGGCTCTGTATTGGGCCTCGATTTCATCCTGGACCCGATCGATGGCCGCCTTGAAGACATCTTGCTTGACCAGGTCGGGTTTGTTTGTTTGTGACTGCTGGTTTTCTGGAGATTGTGGGGTGGAATTCAGGCAGGTCGAGCTGCTGCTGCCGACGTTCGACGTTGTTGCCGTGGCCTGCGACTCCCGACCATTGTTGCGTTGGAACCTCTTCGGTTCCTGGGCAAAGGCGTTGGACGGCGAGGCCAGAAGAACAACGAAGGCGAGAAGCGTGAAGGCCAGCAACACTTGGGAAACAATCGATCGGGAATGGTTTGTCATGATCACTTTCTTCAAACGGCAAATGTGCATGCAAGTAACAAGAAATAGCTTGTCGTCCCAGTTGTTGGATCGTCGATTCTGTTCGCCTTAAGTCTCAACTGATTCTTGTGATAGATTTCGGCTTGACCCTATCGGATAGCTAGTGAATAACCTCACTCTGTTATACCACGTTGATAACTTGTAGTACCGTACCGGGTACGATGACAAGCTTACATGATCTTTCCCTCCGAAAATTCAAATCGAACGTGGGGCTGGCATGACAAACCTGCTAGCTCGAGCACGACGTGCATCTCGAGTCCTTCAACATTTTGAGTTACAGCAGTAAGGGTCCTACAGGTACGAGTACGAGTACTACTCGTACGCAGACGAGCTGTACTTGTACGAACGGAAAAATGACTGCAGTATCCGGGACTAAATTGCTTTACAGACTCGAGGACAAAATGCCAGTTAGTTGTCATACATGATCAATACCGGTACCTACGTACTTTGTAGCAGTGTACGAAGCACTACAGTACTACTGTATGTTTCTATTTACTTCTACATACTAACAATAGTACCGTATGGTATGGTACGTACTTCATCAAAATGATGACAAGAGTCAAGAGTAGAGGTCGGTGATCGACCGATTTTGAGAAGATATTACAGAAATTGATTTTTATTTTCTGTAGAATATTTTTTTACACTTATTTTAATCGAATCCTTTTTTGCATTGCCACTTCTTGTTAAGACTACGGTTCTATTTGTCAAATGTATCCAAAAATTTGGGTGCGAATCCAAAATGCATCTAAACTCGTTAAACTAAGATGTGCTTGTACCGTCTGGGATTTGAAAATTGCAAGCAACAGCTTCGCAATAGTACGCAGAAGATTATGACGGCAAACACGGATTTGCCGCGTTCCTTTTTGCTTCACACCACAACGACAGCATGAGAGCAGAGGGAACGAAAGATGCTTTTGCAAGGACTTGTGTTGTTGCTGTTGTCTTTGCATGATTCACAAAGCAACGAACACTTTCCTTTTGCCATGCCGTTCTACAACAAAATCCTTCTAGATTCGTCTCAAGGTATTTCGAGGACAAGAACGATACCATTAGGTTTCTCAGATATCGATATTTTAGCTTTTGAGCGCACCAAATCAATAATAGTCCTCGTCGCTTTCTTCGTAGGCCTTCGACTTTTTGCGGTTCCGCAAACCAAGAAAGTTTCCGGTACCCTTGGCCGCGCTCTTGGCTTGTTTTCCCGTCCCCTTAACGACGCTTGTCGTGATCTTCGCTGTCCCTCTTACGGCGTCAATCGTCAGACCAGCGGTGCTCCCGACGACCCTCTCAGTACCGGCCACAGTATCTTTTACAAAACCGCGGGTTCCCTTGTTGATCCTTGACGTGACCTTTCGAAATCCTTTCTTTTTCTTTTTCTTGATGACTGGATTAAGTCGGGCAGCCTGGTCAAAGATGAAGGCCGATATGTCACCGCTCTCGTAGCCGGTGCTATAGCCATCATTGTCAGGGTCGTCAACGACAACCCCGGGAACAATAAGGTTCTTGGGTGCCGACGATGCATACACCCGGGCATATTCAGGTTCGGGAGGCCAGTCATAGAACCGGTTGTACATCAGGACGTTCGATGGAACGACAATCTGCTTCACGTGGGTTGGATCTATGTTCTGGAAGCGAATTTGCTGGTTTCCAGGAGCATCACTCGAAAAGAATTGCATTTCCTGGAAGTCTTCGGCCTTTTCGATCTTTTTCTTCTTGACCACGAGATCAAAGTCGGGTGGTTGGTATCCCGGTCTCGTTTCTCGGTAAACGCGCAATAAATAATTTTGTGGACCGATCCAGTACAAACCCAGGACAAGGGCAAACAACCGGTAGGGAGCAATATAGAGAAGGAGTACCAAGGGTGGGCCCACAAAGCATAACCAAAAACACAAGACGGGATCTTGCCACGTCATGACATTGAACGAGGCTCTGGTAGCAAACAAAAATGTCTGCGCCATTTCCAATAGAGGTTGGATTACAATTCCTATCCGATTCATCCACGGATTCCAATGCGAGTGCTCGTTGCTGTTTTTGAACGGGGGAGGCGGAAAATGAAACGATATCGAAGAGGAAATTGTCTTTAATTAGTTCATCATTGCCCAAATTTCGATAAAGAAACGGGGGATTCAAGTCCTGTTTCAAGCAATCGCTGAAATAATACTTACATAAGCAAGACCTTATCTATCTCTTCTTTTTGTTTTTCGTATGGAGTCATTTGCATTCTTTTCTGGCGCTCTTCTTCCAATTTCATTTCTTCGTTGCTGACGCGACGGTTGAAGAGTCTTCGTTTTTTCTTCTTCTTCATTTCCTTCCCTGCGTCTTTGTCTAACTGTGTCGGAAAAAGATTCTCGTCGATTTTGTAGACCTGATCGTCGAACATGTGATAAAAGGCTCGATGGAGCTGCCGACGAGAACTATCCAGAGCTCTTGCCAGGGACATATCCGATTGTTGCTGCCCATGAATGTTACCTCCAATCTCCTGGTTCCTTGGCTCTTTCAAGTGTTTTTCGAAGATGACGTGCTTTTTTCTCTTCTTTTTCTGGATATTTCCCACGTCGTTGTCGCTATCGTATTGGTACGGGTCGTACGCGTCAGCTTTGCGTTGTAGCTCGATCAGTCGATCGAGTTCCAGATTGTTCTGGTCCTTCAATTTCTTGTATATATCTTCCTCCGATACGGCCACCTCAAGTAGAGAGCCGGTGCTCGCTATTGGATTGGCATCTTGTCTATTGCCCCATATCAGTCCTTCGGCTACCGCATTCGCTCCTACAACGACACCTGTGGCTACCCCGGTGGCTACGGTCTTGACTGCTTCGCCGACAATCATACTACCTCGACGAGCGCTGTCAGTAATCTTTTTTCCACCATTGACAAACCCGTCTGACAACCGACCCGAAGAGGTTCTCTTCAAGCTTATACGTGCATTTCCTGTCATTTTCGTCCCGGTTTCGGATTCGTACCCGGAAACGTTGTTGGCTCTTTGGTTGTCATTCGAATTGGCGCTCGATCCCAGGGAGGTAGGGATGATTCCAAACTCGGCCGATTCGAGCACATCTCTTGCTTGTTTTTCTTTTTCGACCTTGCTTTTTTTTTCGGGGGAATGGATCACAAGTGATTCCTTGACGGTGAACCTTGGGTGATCGACCCCCGTCGCAAACGGAAACTCTACGTGTTCACGAGCTTCCAAAATGTCGGCTCCGCCCACCATGACGGCAATGTCATCAGTATTTTTGCCATTTTTCTTGTTTCCTACATGGTGCTCTCCAGTTTGTTTGCCACTGCGCGAGTAAAAGCCTAGAAGTTCCAGAAATCGCCCGCCCCTCGGAACGTGGCTCTTTTTTATCACAAAACGCTCGTTCTCGTAGCCAGTCCGGAAGGCATAAACGTATGTCGAGTCCTCAAAACGGGCCTCCCCGGTGACGTCTGCGAACAATCCCTTCTCACTTTCCAGCCGGCGTCCCAGACCAACAGCTTCTGGCCTCGTTTTGGCATAGCCATTGTTTACAAGAAAATCCACTGCGTCCTCTCCCTGGAAGGAGTGTTGGAAGATGGTAAGACCATTGCGGTAGGGCTGGACTCTCAATTTCTCTCGCATTGCGTTGGCAATTTCCGTCAGTGAAAACCTCGATACGTTGACGAGGTCTCCATTTTCATCATACAATTCGTCCATATTGTCACTGTTCTTGCTGCTATTGTTGCGGCTAGCCGACGATCGCAAGTGATCCGATGCTGTGGCGCCCCAAGCATCTTCTTTCAGTTGCATGTTGAGCGGGTGGATGTAGCCGTTCGTCCCTTTTTTGCCACGCTTTCTAAGCGGTGGAGGATGCATTAGTGCCATGTAGAGTTCTTCAAGTGTAGGTCCCAGGAATCCATTCTGAAGCGGCGAATCCATGGCATAATAGGAGTAGTTTTTGATAAGATGAAGAAGGAAAAACACCACAACGTGTCCGGGAAAGTACCGGACTGTGTTGTAATACACCGCATGCATCCACGCTAAAAAACAAAAACCGGAAATGCTCGGATACACCCAGTTACAGAGATTATAGATCTGTTTCTGGCGTAGATACCGAAAAAGGTGGATCCTCGTCCAGTGAATTTCCCTCATGGTTGCCTTTACCAACACTGGATCGAACTTGCCAGGCATGTGGACTCCGTGTATGGTATGAGCGACGTTCCGTGCAGCGCGATCGTCGACGCAATTGATAGTGAATCGTGTGTTCGGTTTGTTCGACAGCTGACTACCGGTTGTTCCGCCCGGCAAGCCCCGGGGTAGATATGATAGCACAGCGGACCGCTCGGAATTCCATGTAAGGTGCAACCGTACGCGGACCGACCCCCTCGGGTCCCGCGAAAAGACGTGCTTGCTTCTGCGTAATGGAAGGGTGACGTCGTACGTAGTTCCCGGGCGCAATTTACACACATCAATGACCACGTGGCCAATGAAGTCTTCAGCCCTGGCACAATAGTCGTTGCACTTTATTGTGTCATCCAAATCGTCGTCGTCCTCAGCATCTGTATCGTTCTTGTTGCTTTCGTTGCCGGACCCCCTACGACTGCCGATACTGCCAGAGCGACCGATTCTCCCCGACGCTTGATCAACATTGCTCAAATGCATCTCCCTACTGCCACCACCAAAACTCAACCTTCCTTCGCGGACACCAAAATTTGCCCTGCCTTCGCGATTTCCATTGGCACCTCCACCGAAGCTCATTCTTCCCTCTCCTCGGCCTCCAAACCCAAAACTCCCACGACGTGCCCTTTGATCGGGTGGAAGCCATCCCGGATGGCCGATGTGTCCGACTACATCATCCGGGTCGGCGATCAGAGGCTCTAGATCGAAGAGCCCTATGTACAATTGAGAATACATGGTGCTCACCCCGAACATGCAGGCCCTGCGCATCTTTGAAAGCCACATAGGATTCGCAATGTTAGGGATCATGTCGGTCTGAAAGGCCGCGTCTTCGTGCACAGCCACCGCGTACGCCGAGACCTCCTTGATCAGAGAGGTGGTGGGCAAGCCATAGCACTGCAGTATTTCTACGCGCAGCTCTCCAAAATTTTTCAGGCGGTCCTTGCCGCTTTTGCTGCTCGTTTTGGATTGAGAGGCTTCCTTGTACAGCCGTACGTCGTGGTAGAAAGCCGATTTGGAGTTGGTTTCGGCCCGCAATTGTTTGCGGGTCATGTAGGGAGTGGTAGTTCTATAGGCGTAGTCAGGAACGACTCGAAACAACTTGTCTTCAATGCCCTCGCCCTTGCGGATACGTTTGCTGCCTTCATTGGACGGCCGCTTCGCCATGTGTTCCAGAAATCGTTGGTTCATGTCCACCATGTCGGGGGTTGACCGGGGACTGCTATGTCGGCGCAAGGAATTATTGTGCCGGCGGTTTCTTCGGAACGACACATCGGAATCAGATTCACTGTCGTCATCGTGATAGTTGTTTGTGATAGCGCTGCTATATGGATCGCCACGGTAATCATCAAGGGTATGGCTCAGTTGTAGGTGCTGACTTCTCGAAATCGACATGCTACTATTTCGATGTGGCTCGTATTTTGGGCTCTCTCCGACGCTGCTCTCGGAATAATGGCTCTGGTCACAGTTGCTCTCTTCAAAGAACAAAGCATCGTCGTCGGAATCAAAGCTTCCTCCGTAGGACAGTGCATGGGCTCGGTTCTTGTAGTTGTTTTTGTAGGAATCTCGCCTGTTTTCTTCGAACGGAGAGGCGGGTTGGGATGTGGCATGAGGATCACCGATGCTTCCGTTATCAGAATCGAAGGGGTCGATGCTGTCGTCGCCGCGGTTGCTTGAACGACTGCGAAGGCTGTTCTTCTTTTTTCGCCTTTGGCGACCCGATGTGGCTCGTCCTCGATTTTGCTCGAATTCCACGAATTCGTAGGGATCCGACTCGACACCACTCGTGCCGATGCTAGTACCATAATATCTATCATTGGTACTAACAAAACTATCTAGGCTGCATCCGTCGTCGCTGTATATACTGCTGCCAACTTTGGAATGATTGTTGTTGTGGCGATTCGTCGTCGTTGTTTGACTTGGAGTTTTCGGCCTCCGCCCCCCTCGAAACCTGGGGAAACGGGTCTGGACGTTGTTGTCATTTGCACCATTTTGGGGGGCTCCATCCGAATGATAACCTCGATGGTGTTGTGTATCAGTAAAATTCTGTGATCGCTGCGTGCGGTGCTCTCTGTGAAGTAGAAAGGGAGGTCGCATTATCCCTCCTCTATTGTCGTCGTGGCTGTTGGAGCTGTCCTTGGATCGGCCTCGCCGTCGAATTCGCATCGTGTTGTGTGTATTGGTTGGTTGTTGGTCGGTAAGAATTGGAGGTAGCAAATTAGAGGCCTGTGCAGTTGTAGTGTTGTGCCCGGCAGGGTGATACCATATCGCATTACTATTATGCAGTTTTGTTCACAATCACTTGTTGTACGGAACTCGTACTGTTCCGATTTTTTGTTCTTGCTTTTTGTTTTCACCAAGAATAGTGGATTTACGAGTACGAAACTTGTAGTGCAGTTCCTTCATCGAAGTTCTTTTGCTTTATGACCGACTCTCACGGCTTGTCAAATTGAACTTCAGGGACATTAAATATTTTTGTCGAAAAGACCCGTGTTGTTTCCGTTTAATTCAATCTTTTACTTAGTACGTACGAGTAGGTACGAAGTACTGTACGATGTATTCCCAACACAGTATCTTCTACCGTACTTGTACGAGTACTAGTACGAGGTTGTGGTGTGATGTATATGTCGCGTGACAGGCATTTTGCAGTATTATTTCTGCACCGGCCTACATGGAGAACAGTGCGATATTATTACACCCTCACCTTCAACCTGTCGCACGTTCCCAAAAAAACTATTTCAGTCGAAATAATTGCTAGTAGTATTTCGGAGCGTTTCCGAGCTAATTTTTCGCTCACTTTTTCTTTACGAGAATTCAGATCTGGTGCTGAATTGAATATAGAAACACTACCAAATATAAATCCATTCCAAAGAACAGATTTCTCTCAACATAAATTTCCTTCTACTGGAGTACTCTCTAATGCGCCTACTACTGAGGCGCTAAGGCACTAACTAGTACTGGGCCTCTCTTATCATTAGACTTCTTCAACTACCCCCTTCACACAGCCACCACCAGAACTGAAACAGGAAGATTTTTTGCAGCTTGTCTTTCCTCCTCAGTCATCCCTGTAAGGCAGGTTAGAGCCTCATCTTGTTGTCTATCTCTCTCCCTTCCTAATTCAGTCTCTCTGATTGTGATATCTTCTTCCTTCAGCTTCTGCATTTGAGCTTCATCATCAGAGTCCCTCCAGGAAGGCTCTGCAGGAGGGACATTCCTGACTTCCATCCACATACCAAATACACTGTCTTTCTTTGCAGGGATCTTCTTCTGTTGCTTCCACTGGCACAACAGTTTGAGTGTTGACACTGGTAGTGACTTGGCATCTTCCTCCTTGTACACATCTGTCCCCTTTGATAGCAATTCCTCAATCACTCTGGTTCCTTTGCATTCAACACACTAACTGCTTGGGATTTCTTCTTTGCTGTTTCTTGCTCCTTAACATGCTATTGTTGCCTCTTTCTGCCTTCAGTAATGAAGTAGTCATCACTTTTTAGTGTGTGGCCTTTGGTCCTAATAAAATGCTCACTAGAGTATTTTATAGTTCCAATTGCATTTTGCTGTTCCCTTGTCCAAGCTTTTGTCACTGGTGTTGTAGAAGCTGATAGCATTGGGGTATACCTTTGGTAAATCTCTCCATTAAATCCAGCATCATTTTGTACTTGGATTGCTGCATCAGTTCCCATTTGACAAGCTCAGCCGTCTTAGGATCAGTGTCAATATCAATGCTACCATCTGGAAGCTTAATTATTTTGTGAGCAACTTTCTGATTCCAATCTTGGCCCATACTGCCTTTGTCTTCTCAACTGCAAAGGCTTTGTGAAAGGCATGCTCAAGTTGTACAGGTTCATACCAATTTTTTTGCTTTCCAAAGACAAGTGGTGGAAAATCAGTCTGCCGGACCTTTTCCCCCTTTTTTTGATGGTGCAACACAAGCTTTTCCAAATTTTGTCTGTACATTGATTTGAACGGTCCACAGTTTCTGTCCATTGGTTGAGTCACATGCATTGTGTTGGGTACACCAGGAAGAAGATAAAAGCCTTTTGCATGGAGCTTCACCAGCAACTCTTTGTATTTTCTTTCTGGACTGCTGTCCAAAATTAAAAGGACTCGCCATCCTGGGATATCAGCTGCATCTGGAGATGACAGCTTCATTATGTTGTCTTCAATGTATTTAAAAAATTTCAGTGTTCATTCCAGAAGTTTCATTGCAGTTGATGGTAATACCATTTTCAACACATCCAATGCAACCATAACACCCTCTGTTTTTGGGACACCAGCAATAACAGTTGTGTGGATTCTCTTGTTGTCTTCTTCCTTTGCTGTCAATTTCAGCTGAAAGTGCAGGACAAGAGGAAATCCAGCTGCATTGCTACCAGCAACAAGTGTGATTTGGCAGCTGCTCTTGTTTGTGTCATTGGCACCACAGGTAATGTTCTTGGGCTGCTTGCAGGCCTGTACCTGGTGGGTGCTTGACCTCCTGCTAGAAAGGAGCAGCCATCTAAAGTCAAACCACTCTAGTCAAGATTTACAATTTGATTCAACTGGTTTGGAAGGAACACAAGGTCACCTTCACTGTCTTCACCATCCATTCTAACTCAAGCAAATCCAAGGTCAACAAGCTTTTCACAAAGTGAGTCAAAGAAGGTGTTAATCTTATTCTACATTTTCCATTGTGCACGTCTTTCTTCCATCTTTGAATTACTGGTGACAATTTTAACTTTATTGCAAACAACTTTGTACAATCCTTTGAACAGCAAATGCTGGTCTTGCAGTACCGTTGGTCCACTTTCAGGCATGCGAGTAGCATTTGGAGTAGTTGAGGGCGCCTACGTTGATCTTTCATATCTGAACAGCCAAGATTCACCACGGATGTCATAGTGATGCAAAGTACTAGTACTAGTGTTGCAGTGGTACTCATTTGAAGTTAAATGGCTTTCCTGCAAGAACATAACTCAGGTAAAAATTTGACTTGTTGTTGTTGGTTGTTGTTGTTGGTTGTTGTTGTTGTTGGTTGTTGTTGTTGTTGTTGT